GAGGCCCGGGAGCCAGGCACAGGACAGGCTGGCGGGCAGGCAGGAGGGAGGGATCACCTCCGGGGGGCGACAGGGCTGGGCGGCGCAGCGCACTCCGCAGGCAAGAACGGGGGAGCACGGGCAGGAAAACCAATGTCTCCCAAAATATTTGCAAAATATAATTTGCAAATTTAAAATAATTTGATGCAAAGAAAAAAAGAGGCGGCACTGCCTTCTTCCTTCCCCTCCCTCTCTTCCTTCCTTCTATTGCCTCCCGCCCCGCGGCCCCCGGGAGTCCCGCCGACAAGAAAAGGCTTTGCAACAAGATGGCGAGGAGGCACCGACACACACAACAAGGGAAGGAGCCGCGCTACCCCCGGCCGCCGCCCCCGCTACTACACCGGGGCCGCAGCCAAAGCCCGGACCGGAGCCCCCACCCGCAGGGCCGCGGCGCCTCACGGAGGGAGGGGCGGGGTCGGGAGCGAGCTGTCTCCACCCACTTACGGCGCTAGCACACGTGGCCTGGGTGGGGGTGGAAGCTCGCGCCGGGTTCGCGCCCTTCATTTCCGCTTTCCAGCCCCGCCCCGCCCCGATTGTATGCCACAAGTTGAACAGGGTGTGTTTGGATCATTCACAACGAAATTTGTCCTGCTGGAGGGAAGGTGGAAAATTCATCACTTAAGAAGCTCAAATAAGGACATTTTAGGTCAGGGAAACATTAGGATGGTAGACACCGGCCTGATCTTTGGGTCTCCGCTCCCTACCCACACGTGACCTAATTCCTGCAACCACCGGCTGTCGCAATTGCCCCGGGATCCGCCCCTGGGCGGAGTTGACAGCCGGAGGCTGCCAGAGAACTTGGAAGGAGCGGAGTGACGATCCGATTCCGCGTTTTGTCTCCATTCCTCCCCCCGCAGTGCGTTAGCATTCTATTAGGCGACGTCATCGGGCCACGGGCCAATGGGCGGGCAGGACAACACGGCATGGAGCAGCTCCACATGGACACCCCGCACCGCCGGCCTTCCGTTTAAAGGGCCAGTGTTTAGCCGGGTCACTTTCGCGGGTGCGGATGGGGCCACTGTGTGAATGGGAGATGGGACGTCGGAGTGAAATTCCGCAGTTGTGCCCTGAGGCTTAGCCTTGACTTTTCACTAGCCTTCCTTTAAAACAAAGTATCTCCCTTTCCTTCCCCTAAACTCTGTCCACTGGTCTCTGATATGGGTGGGGGCTCAAACTGTGCCACCCCAAAAGCCACCCATTACTCTGGAACCCGGGCGGGGCAGTTATGGCGAGGCATCCCCAGCCCGGACCGAGGGGGCGTGGCCCAAATCGGGAACAACAACGTGGAGGGCGGAAGCCCGGCCCTCCTGGTGGCTGGGCAGAGACCGCGGGCGGGGCTCGGGGGCGGGGCCTCTTGGCCCGGCCTCAACCGGGGTTGCCCAGAGGGCTGGCCTTCCCCCCACCCCCTTACCTCCCCACCTTGGCGGGCACCCTTCTTACCGCTGTTTCCTGCGCTAGTGTTTGGGGGTGCATTCAGAAAGTTATAACTTTGAGGTCAGCTTGCCCAAATCCTCATCTTGCAGGTAGGGAAACAGGCCCAGAAACTAGAAAGGACTCAGTATGCCAGTTGTCCGTAGGGAGGAGCATTTATTCCTGACCCAAGATGACTCTTTTGAAGGCAGTTCTAGGGCAGGGTCCCCAGTTAGAAGAAAAGTCCTGGAAGAATATCAAATTGCTCCCATGGGAAGGAGTTTGAACATTTAATATGTGATTAGAACCTCAAAAATCTTTACCTGGAACCCTGCTGTTCAGCTTTGGAGGAAGTTGCAGAAACCCAGGTAGTCTGTAGTCACAAGCACAGGCCTGCTGAAGGCATATTTGGGGCACCCTGGTGCACATTCAGCTCTGTTGTCCCAATGCCAGCAGGCCTAGGGCCCTCTCAGCCCTGGTCACAGATTTATTTCTTTGCCAACCAGCGCAGTGGGACAATGCCATTTGGTTTTAAGATCCCACGGCCTGGGCATCACCATCATTCAAAACCAAAAAGCAAACCTTTATGAGGAGGTCTCTCTGGCCAACCACCCTGCCAATCTATTCCCTTCCATCCCCACTGAGGGATAAATTCTTAATTTGGGGACTAGTGGAGGGCTAGGCCCTTTGAAAGCTGGTACATATGCATGCTTGCTGGCTTTGCTCCTTACCTTTGAGGGCACAATGCATCCCAGGGAAATAAAATCTGCACATGCCCTGACTCAGTTGGTTAGAGCTTCCTCCAATACGCCAAGGTTGTGGGTTCGATCCCCAGTCAGGACACATACAAGAATCAATCAATGAATGCATAAATAAGAGGAACAACAAATCAATGTCTCTCTCAAATCAATCAATAAAAGAAAAAATCTACACAGATCCTGGAAATCAAGAATCTAGTCAACAAGAGGAAAGGGGTTGTTTCCCAGCACATCTACAAAGGGCTCTGACCTTTCCACAGTTAATGTCCCAGCATCTACACCGGAGCATGGAGAGGCCATTACACACAAAAATGCCTGGATGCCTGCCACTGGCTCTATGATGAAGCTGGAAAGTAACAGGTATTAAACATCCCAGTTCTTTTCCATGGGATGGATAAATACCCTTTTCCTAGAAGGGCTGCATCTGTGCTGGTTTTGACATTGCTTCCTTTGAGGTGTCTGCAACCTGCTACCAGTGTTATTGGGCCTGGCCAACTGCAAAACTGAAAAAAATGGCAAATTTAAAGGCAATATATAGGTGTGTGTGGTGGGGGAGGAGAGAGAGTAAACA